GGAGGCCCTCTGTTCAATGGACTTCATAACCCAGATCCTGCTTGGAACCCTATGATAAAAGTTATCCAAAATTCAGCTGAGTGCACTGATGCCCAGCAGGTAAAATGGATTTAATTTATCCTCTCTTTTTCTTTTTTAATTCTCTGTATAGTGCAAGTTCTGAATATCAGAAGTGATACCTGACCACCTTGATCTAAGTTTTTCAATATCAAGATGATACTAAACATTTTTATTTCATATATGTGTATTCTTCCTAGGCAGAAACAGTGAATTACCATTGAATTTATATCTTTATTTTGTAACTGTAAAGATTCCTAATTAGAAATTCCAATTTTTCCTCCCCCTTTTCAGATTTGGCCTGGGACGTGGGCACCTCATATTGGAAACATGCATCTCAAATATGTCAACTAAGTTAGAAGGTCTTTACTCTTTAGCCTTGTTTGAGAAACCTATGACCTTGGAAGAACCCTGGGGATTTTTTTTAATGTGCCTACCTAAGACATTTTCTTTGAGGCTTTAGCAATGGAAATTTGATTGCCCATTGTATAAGAACAAATTGATTTCTTACCTACCTGATTATGTTCTCTGATTAGTTTAGCCATTTTGAACTTAAGACATGAACTTAGTGCTTTTGGCTAAACATAATGAATGCTACTTATATGCAGAAGAGAATTAGATGATTACATGTTTCAACCTTTTTAGGCAGTAAAATACATGTATAATTGTTTACATACTTAAAAGGAAAAAATTTGAGTAAAATTCTTGTCTTATAGTGGCCCTACTTAATGTAGCCTGTATTAATGTGAAATATTTACCAGAATATTCAATAAAAAGATGAACAGTGTTTAGAAGTGGGGTGTGATCCTTTCAGTGGTCATGTAGGTGCCACCCAATTCACAGTCATGTTGAACCACATTAATACTACTATATTTTTAATAGGTTTTCGTGTATTACACTTTAGATTCCACTCTTACACTGTCTTGAATAAGTATTTTTAAGACTAGTTATATACTTGTGTGTGAAGCATTCCTTGTTCACTTCTTGTCATTCATACATGTGAGAAAGTTTCATACTTCCATAATGTGTTCTATCTGACGTTAGCCGATGGTCCACTAATAGATTTAGCTTTTCCTAGATCCTGAGTCAGTCAATAAGAATAATGGGATTTTTAAGTCAGATAACACTGAACAAACATAGAGATACCCAAACCCAAATCAACTTCAGGTTCTTCTCTGTGCTTTGTTTTGTCTTGTTTTTTTTTAATAAAACCCACACCTAAAATATTTAATCACGTTTAAGTTTCAGTTGAATTGGGACATAGAATGGAGTGACTCTTGTGATTATGTTGTATCATTTTATCAAGCTAAGTAATGTTTCTAAGTATGTGATTAATTCTGAGCTTAGTTCCTTGGCCTCAAATATGAAGAACCTGTAGGTTGCACAAGCTAGACATAGGAACACTGGGATGACTTGCTTTGGCCAAACAACAGACTGTGCCAGAAATACCTTTTAAAAATGAAAATATTTATAGCGGAAAGAGAAACTCAAATACATATCAAGGCACAGAAAAATAGTAGTATCTAAGGGCACTACTTTTCTGTTCTTAACCAGATAGGGGATTTGTAATCTTTTCTGCCCTAGTCCTAAAGCCAGTACCAGATGAGATACATCGTTTGTTTTCTTTTAGACATACCTGGTTCTCTTGTCTTCTGTATCATCTTAACCTATGAGAGAACGTCCTTAAGCTCCTTTATTCTATTTTGGATAGATTTAGACAATGTCACTAGTATTGAAGCTGTTAACTTTGTAATGCTGGATAACCATATCATTCTCAAAAGACTGCTCAATTTATTAAAGCGACAAAAGACTCTTTGGATCACCTATGTCTCTTTCTGGTTCCACTTTACAACAACAACAAAACATCACCTGGTATTAATAGAAAAAATGAAACAGCTCTTGATTAATAAATATGTATTAGTAAGAAATATTATTAAGTAAATTATTTAGTGGAACAAAAAGGTGGGTTTTGGTGTATCCTGTCTATCTACACTGCATTTGAATTTTCTGGTGGAACCCCTAAACCTATACTTCAGGGACACAGAATAAGAAGATTGATCTCCTATCAGGAGCTATAACCCATGAGAAGAGGAGGCAATGATGAGAAAACTAGGAGCTATAGGAAGAAACAGGAGCTGTGCACTTGGGTGGGAGTAGTTCTTTAGGCTCTCCTCCTACCTTCTCCTTGACCAGCACTGCCTGCCTTCCTTTCTGTTTGGATCCCCCTAGCCTACTCCCCACCCCATTTCATCTACTACAATTTCTTCTTCTTCTGCTTGCCTCTTCCTGGCATTACTTTACTCCTATTTTACCAACCTGAACGTTGGATAAAACCTCGCTCAGGTAAGAATTACTTTGGAAATATACAAGGGGTTTTGGTGGGTGGCAGTCTGGGTGCAGTGTAACAAGTCTGGGGCCTACGTTCTGTTTTAATTTCTGCAACTTGCAAGCTGTATGACCTTTGTCAAATCATCTTTCCAGGCCTGGATTGCTTTATCTTTATAAAATGAATTTAATTCAAAAGAGTACCCTAGCTCTAACATAGATTTCCCTTTTTTCCCCTCGTGTGAATAAGAATATACTATGAGAAAATCATTAGAGTATTTGCAGTGTCAACATTTGAAACCCCCAACATTGGTTCTAACGTGGACTCAGAAACCTATTTGAGATTTTAGTGGTGGCAGAAGAAAACTTTGCACATCCATTGTGAACACTAATCATTAAGAAATGTCTACTGAGGCATAGCTCAAACCCCAGGACAGTAATAGTGCTTCCAAGGAATAAAACTGTATCATCAATATTTTTGGGCCCACTTATTTCACATAATGACAAATGTAATAAAATTATACCATCAATAAAAATACTGTTTTAAGACCCTTTAAATCTATTGAGGCTACAGTGTGATGACTTGCCCTTTTATAGGCCAGTCTGCTTCCTTCAGTCCCTGCTCTCAAAGGGGAAATTCCATCACCTCAGCTAACAAGACCGAAGAAGAGAGTTGGACAGCCAATGGTGGCCTCTCCAAATCAGAGGTAAGAAATTTTAGGACTTGGAACTCTAGTTCCCATCTTTTTGTATAAATTTTTACTACTCTTCACAACTAGTGCATGATAGAACCGTCCTTAGTTTGAGTTAGAAAGGGAGGGCTTTATCACATATTTTCAAATAAAGGAGAGAGGAGTACTTTATACATGATTCTGTTTGCCTGCTCAAGACCTTTGGACCACATTATAAACCCAGGGAGAGACAAACAAGCCTGTAAGAAAACAGTTTGTGAACATCTTGTTCTCTGACTAGCAATAGATCTCTTCTACCTAGAATTGATTGCTTGTGACATCTTCCTAATGGACCTTGTCCTGGGGTGAGGGGCTCTGATAAATACTACATTTTCTGTTCAAAGATCTGTCATCATTTGCCTATAAGTAAAGACAAGTTCCTTTACCTTTAATCTCTTCTATAAGAAATGAGTGTGAGAGAGGTGGTTATAAGTACCCAAAACTCAGAACCTACTCCTAGCTGACTTTCTAGCATTTTTTTCAGAGGCAGTAAATCCCATGGGAGGAGACTGCCCATCTTGCTCCCTCAGAGCTGTTGGTGTATTCAAACAACATGCTTTTGGATTTTTAGTGCAGCTCCTTACCACTAGGCCACCAGAGCTCCCTTAAGTGTGTTAAGGCCTCCTAAAATACAGGACAGGAATGTGAGCTTTAAGTCCTACCTTGCAAAACACAAAAGACAAACATAACAGCAAATCTATTTGGTAATTACTTTCACCTCATCTTTTATCTTAATGGCATTGGTATGAATTCAGAACCATTTGGCCTAGTATATTAGCTTACAGGTTTCTCCCAACCTAGTAAGCTGGAAATAACCCTCTGCTTGTATAATATTTTTATACCATTTTTCCTTCATTAGGGGGTTCTAGTGATATCCTTCATAGGAAGCTACAGTGCTCTCCCAAATAATCTGAAATACTTGAGACCGTCGCTGCAGTCACTGTCAGTCCATCTTCTTGAGAGTCTTCCCCCACTTTCACTGACCCTCCTTTTTCCAAACATTTTCCTTTCTAAGGAATAGCCTCTCCTAGTAACATGTCCAAAGAATATGAGACAAAGCCTCACCATCTTTGCCTCCAAAGAGCACTCTGGTTGCCCTTTCTCCAAGATACGTTTGGGTTTTGTACCAAGTATTTATTCCCCTCACCCCTCTCTCCCTCCAGCCTTTCATATCAGTGTGCCTAATTCTAAAAATCTTCTCTCCAAAGCCAGGCTTTCTGAACTTCCAAGTTTACATCACCACCACAGCCTTTTCCTTAGTTTCCTAGTTAGCTGTGGGCCCTCAAAGAACAGACCATCTTAATTCCCATCAGAAGCCTCTGGTTGTTCCCAGCCTTTATTAATCTTTCAGTTTGTCTATGTATACTACTTCTTCCAGAGAACCCATCCTCTGCCTGTACCTCACCTATACTGCACACTAGGCCATTAAGGAATTGTGTATTCCGAACTGTTTTTTTGTTTTTGTTTTTTGCATTTGTGTATGAGTTTATGGGAGACTGGAATGAGTTCTAAGAATTCCAGCTCCCTGACCTACAAAATGTGTGATTTAACTGATCTGGATGTTAAGTTTCCTTATCTGTGAAATGAGCTTTAACATCTGGACTGCTGCAGCTACACTTTAGTCCAGCTGCACTTTAGCCCAGAGCTAGCCTGGAGGAAGCGGAGGCCAAGGCAGGGCCTGGGTGGGACTCACCCTCAAGTTTATTCCCGTGCTAGTGGAGCGGGACAACGGGACAACCCCCGGTTTGAGTGACAGTGAGTGGCCCGCCCCGGGTGTGACGTCTCGCTGGGGTTGGTTGGGTTGCACGTGGTCAGCTGAGTCTGCCTCATACTCAAAAGCGGCTCACTCAGACCACTACTCAAACTGCTTGCCTGCCTGTCCTGTTCATCTTTCTCGCTATGTCAACATCCACCAGCTGTCCGATTCCCGGGGGCCAGAGCCAGCTGCCAGATTGCTACAGCACCACACCAGGGGGCACGCTATATGCCACTACCCCGGGAGGTCAGCGGGCCGGGCTGGGGTTCAGAGATCTGCAAGGCAAGGGGCAAACTAGCTCCTGCCGTGGGGTGGGGGCAGAAAAGTGCTGGCTTCCGAAGCAGAGGCGTGTCATGTTGTCTTAGCCTCACTTCCGGGTGATAGAGTGGAATTCTGTGCTGTAGCCAGGGTTCTGGCTGCCTTTTACTCTACCCACCTCACCGAGTTGTCTCCCCGGAAGTAAAAGCAAACAGTGGAAAGCAAAGAAACTTGTGGGGCATTTAGGGTACAGTTGGGGGGGGGGTGCTTGTTGACGGATGCGGATGCGTGATTGGGCAAACAGCCTGGAGTCACGAGCTCTGTTGGTGTCCAAACCCACAGGTTCTTGCCACGTGGGAGAGGGGGAGGGTTGTAGGGTTCTTGCTTTGAGGACAAGACTGCAGCTTAATTCCTCTAGCCTGGCCAAGCCTTGCAAGACTTGGGAGGGGTCAAAATAACAGAAGGTCTATTTCTCATGGGAAGCTGGTGTCGAGTTCTTTCCTCTAAAATATTAGGAGACAGGTAGCAAAAACTATGCTGTAAACCTTCCTGTCTGCCATTTGGCTTCCAGACCACACTTGACTGAGGTGAACCCAAAAATATTGAAGCCTTAGGGTCAGAGGACAAAAAAGCAGCCTGAATCCCAATAGCTCATCCGTGCTCTTTTCTATAAGATATAAATCTATCTAGCCCTAATTGCTTTATGCTGTTCAGTCTTTACCTTGGTTAGTTGGGTAGGGTTTTAAGTGGTGGGGATGCTCTGATACTCAGGAAAATGTAACTCTCAAATCCCTATACCTCAGCCAGCTGTGTACCCAAGTGCCTCTTAACTTCAGCCTCTACCTTTTGACAGGCACCAGGATCATCTACGACCGAAAGTTCCTGCTGGAGTGCAAGAACTCTCCCATTGCCCGGACACCTCCCTGTTGCCTCCCTCAGATTCCCGGGGTCACAACTCCAATAGCACCACTCTCCAAGCTGGAGGAGCTGAAGGAGAAGGAGACAGAGGAAGAGATACCCGGTAAGGAAAGTAGGACTTAAAATTGAGAATGGTTCCAGTTTTTAAAATTTTAATGTTCCTAAGTAGAATGAGGGCTCAATTCCAACAGGTAACTTCTGCACTGACCCTAAACCTTAAAAACCAGTGTGCTCAGGCCAAAAACTTCTTTCTTTTCAGATGACGCACAATTTGAAATGGACATCTGATCCTGCACAGATGACCCAGTGTGTGGAATTATAGAGGGATCCCTCAAGCCGCTGCTGCTGCCACCACCTCTTCCTGGGGTATCCAAAGGCCAACTGGCCTCATCTAATCTGGATGGGAGTGGCTTGTTTGTTCTGGCCCTCCCTTAGTTCTGGGGCAGCTAGACCAAGGATAGGAGCAAGCATCTTGCCAAGCCCTTTGCTCTAGTTTCTCTTTGGTCTATAGGCTCTTCTCCCAACCTGCTTTGCTCAGGGGCTGGGACTTGGGGATGGTGTATGTCACCTTCTGGCTGCTTAGTAAACATTCAGAGAAATCCCTTGGCTCTAGTGTTGTCCTCAATGCTGATCTTCCCACCTTAGCCACACAGCTTCTCCTTTTAAAGGGCCTTTGCAGGCCGTATTAGGATCAGAGGATCCAGTCCTAGCTCACATTGAGCCTACTTCCAGCAGCAATTAGAGCCTGAAGCAGGCTGCATAAGCCAACAAGCCATGAACAGACAGCCTGATTCCTGCCAAGAGCTGTTCCCATCTTTCCAGGAAGTAATCTTCCCAGCTCTTCCCCTGTTCATTCTTGATCAAGTCTTAGAAGAGGCACAAAACTTCAGCCATTGCTGGGCTCTTCTTGGGCCTTTCCTGCATCCCACCTGTCCCTTTCCAATACTGACAACCTATGACCCCTGCTCTCCAGCTCTGTTGTTCTCAGGGTTAGAAAAGGCCTTTGGCTTTAAACTGAGGCCCAAGATGAGACAACCAGATTGCTTGGTGAATTGAATTAAAACAAAACCCAGGATTCCAATTCAGTGATCTACTTTTTTTTTCTCCTCACACAATAGGAACCTTGTTCCCTCTAGTAAGCTCTGTATATAAGCACTTCTATACCTCAAGTATGATATAGTGCAAAAAGGATAGTCTTTCCTTCCCTTTTTCTCTATGCTATTTGAGCATCCTGAAATAAAACAAGAGTTGCTCAGCCTATCAAAGGATGTGCTTTTCAATCACATTTTGGGGAAAAAGACAGGAAGCAGTCTGGTTACAACCAACAGGACTCTTCATTTATCAGGAAGAATAATGTTTGCAAGGAGCAAGGCACTTAAAGACACCAGAAAGGACCAATCTGGTATAGGAAAGGCTTTCATAGCATCTACCTGGGGCCCATCGAGATGTTTTTATTGAAAAGCCTATGTTCCAGGTAACATGTGGCCCATATAGAACCTCTTCTCCACAGAGATAGGTCACATCATAGACCCCAAAGGGGCAACATTCTCACTGATGGTAGAAAGAATCCAAGTGAGGAAACATCAAGGCATTAAGAGATGGTATGAGGCAAATCTCAGGAACCCAAAGTATTATGGAACAAGGAACACTGGTACAGTCTGGTTCTCTTCAGTTGTGGATTTCTCTTCAGTGGCTTCCTCTGAAGACAGACTCTTCCTTTCTGCAATTAATCTTTTCACTCCCACCATCCACTGACTGACTTCAGTCACATGGTCGACCATGAGTGAGCGGTGGATATCATCTGCTGCATCCCACTGGAGGCTGGAGAGCTCTGAGGAAATACTCGAGTTCAGCAAGCTCAGCTCTCAACTCCTCCCTTCCCAATCACCCAAAAACTCTACACTTGTTCTTAGCAAACCATGGCAGGGCCCACCCCTACCGTGCACCAGCAGAGCCATCCTCTTCTTCACTGGCATGGACAGCTTCCCTCCAGCCCATTGTTCCTGCAGCAGTGCCAGGCGGCGGCTGATGTCATCACATACCTGCTTCTGAGAGACAGAGGCCCTCTCCAAGTCAGTGCTACTGCCCAGAAGGGAGGATGAGAAGACAGTAGCACCACAGGAGGAAATAAGGATTTCTCCCTAAGAAAAATTAATGTATGTATACAATTTTTCCATAGGGTTTTTTGGGGGAGGGAAATTGTATACATACCCTCAGAGGATCATTCTGTAATGTTACTTTATAAATGAGATAATTTAAGACCAAACGGGTGAAATAAATATGCTACTTCCCCTTTAAGATAGTCTTCAGATCCCTTACCTCAAATAATCTTAAAAGAAAAAAAGGATTTCTTTTTTCCTCTTTTATTGATATGATGCCTCAGCACAAACTCAGTAAAGTCCACTCTAAATGGCTCGGGGTACAGAAAATCAGTCACGTTCTAAATGCCATTGAGTCAAAACTCAAAGCCGACCCTCCAGTAGGTTATTAATGGGAAGCAAATGTCCTGCAGAACCACTGGTGGATTCAAACTGCCAGAGAAGCATCACTAGGTTAGCACAACTCCTGTGGATTACCAACTCCTGCCTGACCCTCTTTGTTTTTAGAGGCACGAGAGGAGACTGCCCATCTTTCTCCCTCAGAGTAGATGGTAAATTCTAACCAACTGCCACTAAAGCCACCAGAGCTCTCTCTTAAAGAGCCACTAAATTGATTATTCCACTAATTTCCACAAGCCTCTTCTACTGATTGGTGATCAAAAGTTCTGTAAATCATTCTGAGAACTTATTCATGCTTTCTGGAGCTTTTTAGCAGATTCTGAAGAGGGGGGCACACAACTCACAAAAGGGTGTAACAGCCACTGCTCATAGGTCAGGTGGTGCACGTATGGGAACCATCCGGCATCTAGCTGTCGATGGGTGTCTCCTCTCTACTACATGGAGTGCCAGGGTCAGAGGCCCTGCTAAGCTTACCCTCATGTAGCCACGACAGTCCTCTAATGCCTGTTCCAAAGGTCTCAAGACATCCTTTAGCAAAGGCTCAGTCTCAGTGTCTTGGAAATTTACAGGATCCGTACTGGAGACTAGAGAAGTCCCCACAAGTGGCGGTCCAGGAGCCTTATTTGAAAGAGGTGGGGGTCCCATTGGGGGAGGTCCCAGAATGGTCTCTGAGGCAGAGGCTGAAAAGGTAAAAAAAGATGAACCAACATGGTTTAAAGAGGTGAAAAGCTCAACTGTAAATAACATCCTAAAGAGAGACAAGTCATGTTATTTCCTAAGAAAGAAAATGGTGATGAGATGAAAGGTATGAGAGCCAATCTAGATTAAATATTCAGGGAAGACCTTCTGAGGTGGTAACTATGCAGCAAATCTAAGCTTGGTTTCCTTCTCTAAAAATGGAGATATGCTTTCATATGTTTACAGTGAAAATTGTGTAATACAGGTACAGTTCTTAAACAGCAAAAAGTGCTCACAAAAGTACTGAGAACTTATGTATATGAAGTAGATTTAACCACAAAGAGCTGGAAGGAACAGTACTAGTTGGAGAAAACAATAAAAATAGTGCTTAAGAGGCAGGGAAAGGAACAGAAATGAGGCAAGTTGAATATTAACAGCTGGGTTGTTTCTCACTCCCCAACGACTGATCTTGTTAAAGGTTGGTTACCAGTGTGCTATATACTGTCTTCACTGTCTTATTTTGCAGCATTTATAACATGAATTCATGACTTTTCCTGTTCTCCCGTTATAATGCTGGCCATGTTTCAGTCTCCTTTGCTGCTGTTTCTCCTCTATTAAACCGTGAAATGTTGGAGCCTTAGAGCTCTGTCTTGGATCTTTAGTCCTCTATGCATACATACTCCCTGGATAGCCTCATTCAAATTCTGGACATCCATTGCCATCTCTGATGTTAATTCATTTCTGTAATTGTGATACAGACCCGCCCCCAAAGTATATGCCCAAATTTAAGATAGCCAAATAGAAAACCTTTCATCCCTTCATCAGCCCTTATCAATAAACAGTACCAGCCAGTTCCTCAGGCAAAACACTCTTAAATTACCTTTCCCTCACTACCTAAACCTGCTTATTCCTTCTGACTTTCTTCTATAACCTATCCTTAACTATTCACACTATTGCTACCTTTGTTTTAACTTAGTTTTTCCACTTCTTTCCTAAAACATGTTTTTCACACAGTATATACCCATGATCTTTTTAACATGTAATCTGACAGTAATTATCAACCTATGCAGATTTTGTCACCAGGGGACTTTGGCAGATGTCTAGGGACACATCATTAGCTATCACATCTGCTGTGTGGGTAGGTTTGGGTGCTACTGGCATCTACTGTGTACAGGCCAGGGTTGCTTACATCCTATGCTAAGCAGTGCCGTACCTATAACAGAATTAACTAATCAAAATGTCATTAGTACCAGGGTCCAGAAATCTTGATTTTTATCATTCCTTTGTGTTGGAAAGGATGTGGAGAATGGGACAGGCACTAAAAATAAAACATCACCTCTGAGGGGAGCTCTGGTGGCCTAGTGGCAAGGAGCTGCAACTACAATCCCAGAGGCGAATGGTTCGAATCCACCAGATGCTCTGCCGGGTAAGGAGGGACAATCTCCTCCTACCAGTCAGATCTGATTTGACGGTACACGCACACAAAAATAATAATTAAAAAAAAGACACATCACCTCTGCTCCTTTTGAGAAGGCTATGAATGGCCTTCTTCAAGAACTCAGAGGAAAGATAGGCCTTTACTACCTTGAATTTTTCAGACTTCCAACCTTTACCGAAGATTAAAATACAGACTCCTTATCCTGGATTACAAAACGCCTTCTTATATACCCCATTCTATCCCTATCCCACTACATTGTCCCAGGCCTGTGTTCCTTCAGTCTTTGAATATGCCAAATATACACTCATTCTCAGGGCTTTTTGTTTGCCCTAACAGTGTTAACCTATACCTAAAATACTCTGAACACGTGATTTTTGGATGACTGGCTTTTAATCACCATTTGTATTTCAACTTACAATATTAGCCTTATTTTGTTACCAAGTCGCTATCGCTCCAACCTAACAACACTTAACACTATTTGTCTCCCACACTGGAGCGAGGGTTCTATGAAAGCAGAAACGGCTTATCTTGTTCGCTGCCAATTCACCCTCAGAAGTTACCTGGCTCACAGCAGATGCTCACTTAGACATAATGAATGAATGACAAATTAAGTCTGAGATGGTTATCACACAAACGAAAATACCGAACAAACATGCAACTGTAAAGCTCTGGGGAGAAAACCGGACTGGAAAGAAAATTTTCTTTTCAATGAAAACTTTTAGATCAGCTAGGATGAGTATGTCTAGAACCCGACACACCGTTAGTGGCCTTCAACAGTGAAGGGCCTTGGAAAATGGTCCCTTTTAGATGCAACTCTTGCTCTTATAGCTGTAATCTTAAGAAGGAAGAGATACCCTCCCAGCCGCCTTAGCCTTGATTCTTCCCATCACCACGTCTGTATGCACGGGGCCACCACGTACCTCGGGGGGATCCATCCTGGGCAGCGGCGACCCTCTTAGTGAGCGGTGTGCGCTTGGACCCGCCAGCCTGGGTCTGCAGCCCGTAAGAGAACTGCGGCGGATCGTTCCAGCCGCGCTCCTTGTTACCTGCGGAAGAAGGGATGTGTAAAAGCGAGACGAAAGCTCAACGGGGACACTGGGGATGGGCAAGATGGAGGATTTGCTTCCCGGGCTGTAACAAACAAGAACTCAGTAGGGGGTGAGGATCCAGAAGCCCCAGTTGGCCGACAGCGCTCACCCGGCTTCACGTACAGCTCCGCCATCTCCACTTCCGGCCGGCCGGCCAGCGCGGCACCGCGTCACTTCCGGGGCGGCCGCAGACCCAAGTCAGTTGGGACGGTTGCAGGCCTGGCCGCTTGGTGGGCTCCAAGGTGGGAACCCTGCGCCATCTCACGGCTGGAAACCTCACCTAATAACCCTTCGGGGGTTTAGGTCACAGTGGGGCAGTTTTCCAGGATCCAGCGCTCTAGGAGCCCCAGTCCTGAGTCCATTCTACTCCGTGTTTTTTATTCTCAGAGGCAAGCTCAGACCAGAGGATAATGGCTCTCCAACAGTAATCTAGCCAGGACTGACTTGAGGCACTTCAGTTCACTGCCCTGCCCTCCTAACATTCATTCTCCCTAGGAACCCTAATTAGTCGTACTCCTTCAATAATCAATGCCTCAGGACAGGTGGCATCTCCCTTAAGCTCTTAAAAAAACCTCAGATTTCCTAGTTTTGATCTGGCATTTCTTTTTGTCACCTCATCTTGATAGTCTGAGAATGGCTCCTTGACTATTTTACTAAACAATGCTTAGCTCAGTGCCTGACACGGAGAAGACAAAAATAAAAGTTACATCAAATGGAGTCAGGTTTCCATCACACCCATGATCTCATGTGACTCTAGGCAGCCATCAACACCAAACAGGCACAAAGACACCTCATACAGGTTGCCCCCAACCCTGTCCCAGGCCCAATATACTCAGACCCAGTGAGGTCACTGAGGGATTTTATTTGCACTGATTTTGCTATAAAGTGTTGCTGAGGTAGAGCCAACTGTCCAGGGCTTGACAGGGGCAAGGAACAAAGGGACTCAGGGATAAGGAAGCCTAAGTTGTGGTGCAGGGCCTCTCCAGTCATACATATAAAGTTAATAAACCAGGCAATAAATAGAGGGTAGGTAAGAACCAGGGGAGTAGGCAGAGAAGGTTCATGGAGTGAGTGCAGGTCCCTGAGGAATGAAGCAATAGAGAATTGGGCATGTACCCAGAGCTTCCTCCTCAGTCCTCCCAGATATTCAGGGCATATGGAGCAGAGAAGGTTTCAGTCGGAAGGCATCAAGAAAAGAGAACACACCCCGTTTTCGTGGGGCTGCTCCTGGACCCCCAACACCTCCTTTGAGTAGAGAGCGGGGCAGGGGCCCTCCTGGGGAATCCATGGAGCTGGTCCGCTTGAGCCGCAGGCGGGCACGAGCCTGGGCACTCCAAGCCTTGCCTCGAGCAGCAGAGGCCACAAGACACTTCTGGTACTGAACCTACGGAAAAGGGGAATGTGAAGAGCCAGCTATTTTCTTCCTCTGGATGCCCTGAAAGTTTTTGTAGGACAGGGAACTACACAAGGTTTCGTTTATACTACTTAAATAAATAAATAACTTGCAATGCTTATTATACTCTAAAGTGAAAATATAGAATAGACAAGCAGACATCTTACTGTGAAGTTCTGGGGAAAGGACTAGATTGAAAATAAGATTTTTATTTGAAAATAATATCTACTTAAAATTGAACAGTCTACCACATCTGGAGCCTCTATGGCATTCCCAGGTAAAACAGTAATACAAAATTTGGTATTTACTAAGCACTGAAAGACAGGTGGACACTGCACTAAATGTGTTACATAATCTAAATTCATCTCTATTGATTATGTGGTAGTATTACCCAACAGGGAGCTCTGGTGGCCCAGTAACAAGAAGCTGCGCTGCAATCCCAAAGGCACATGGTTTGAGGCTACCAGCTGCGCTATGGGAGAGGGATGGGCAATCTCCTTCCATGTGAGTAACTGCCTCTGAAAAGCCATTGCAGCAGGATCAGTTATGGGTTAGTTCTGACTCTATGGTACACAACATTATCCCAACTGAAATAATTGGGATTCAGAGAGAGTAAATGCCTTACCTAAAATCACTTAGCCAGAAGATAGTTAAAATTGAGATTCAAATCTAGTTCTGTCCAACTTCAGGATCTTAACTGTAACTACCACTGAGTTGCCTCTGTCGATCTCTCACTGATAAAGACAGAGCTCTGGCTACACACTGTCCATAGTCAAAAGGTACAATTCTAACTCTATTCCCAGCATATCTGTTCCAGTCATTTCTCATTTGAACACTTGATTTGTTCACTCGCTCTCACTCTCTTGAGCTTGCTCTCACACTCTATCTCTCTCTTTCTCCCTCTCCCCGTCTCTCTCTCACTGAGTCAAAACAAACTTATAGCTGACCTACAGTGAGTTTCTGTGGTGGGCTGCAAATTGCCCAGAAGGAGATTGTCCATCTTTCTCCCATGGAGCTGCTGATGAATCTGAAATGCCACTTTTCAGTTAGTAGTGCAACTCCTTGCAGACTTCACTACCACATCTTCCACCTCTATTGCAGCCCATGGCTCTTAGGATAAACTCATTACCTTGACCCATAAAGTCCCTTGTTTCTGCATTCTTTCTGTCCTCATTTCTCATTGTATCTTGCATTCAGTATACTAAATTCTTTTAGATACTCTAATCCACCAACCTTACTGTCACAGCTAGTTTCTGCCCCATTCCCTTGTACCTGGCTTAGGAACCGAAACTATCAATTTTCAATCATCTCTTCCAATCTTTTTTGAAACCCTGAAGGTTGGTTGGGGCCCTCTCCTCCACTATCCTGTAGTGTCTACTTCTAATGTGTGTCTGCTCAATTCTAAGGGTTCTGTGAGAGCAAAGGCTGTGTTGTCCTCTCTAACACTGTATTCCCAATGTCAAGTACAGTGTCTAATAAATATCCTCTAGACATATCTGTTGACTAAATAAGTGAACTAAGAGAAGAGAATGAAATTGCTCCCACACTCACAGTTCACAGACACCAAATCTCTCCACAACCACGACTATAGGTTCACATTTATATATTGAGAGAGAACTCAGTATGAGAGGCTCCTGGTATTTTAAGAAAAGCAGAAGTTGTTGTTTATGCCATCAAGTCAGAACCAACTTATAGCTGACCTTCCATCAGGTTTTCAGAGGCAGCAAATCAATGAGAAGAGCCTGACTGTCTTTCTCCCTCACAGTACCTGGTGGATTCAAACTGAGTGCCTTTGGGTTGGCAGTGCAACTTTTTACCCACTAGACCACCAGAGCTCCAGAAGAAATAGTAATTATTATTTCAAATGTCTCAACCTTCAAATATTTAGCATTAACTAAAACTTTTCAAAAATAGTGTGAGGGCCAAAACCCAAGTGAGGCCAAGTCAGCTTTGGGATTGCTGGTTTTGTAGTCTCTGGAGAGGCTGCCAATCCTAAACTCCATTGCCAGGAGAGAACAGCAGCAAGGCAACCCCCATACCTTATTCCCATCCCAACTCACCATGCAGGCAGCCTGCACAGCTTCAGAGAGTGCACCTGCATGAGGCTGGCACCAGAAGGCTGCACAGTGGAAGCTCTGGCGGCCCAGGTCAGCGATGAGGCCAAAGGTGTGCGGGTCACGGCCAACACCAATAAAGGTCACAAGGCGGACAGGGCACTGCCACAGTGGGTCCTCCTCTGCACTGGCCTCTGCCTGTTTACACCAAACCTAATCAATAGAGGTCTAGCAACTAGCCAGACATACTAAGTTGTTCCAGTAGTAAGCAGTGACCCTCTGTCCCCCTGCCTTCCCCTCCACAGCCTGCAACCTCACCAGCTCTGGTACCTGAATGGGATGCGCAGTCATCAAAGAGTCAGACACACTGAACATGGTGGGGATCCATTCATCCTGGGCACCCCGGGCAGTCAAGGTACCAATGGCTTCATTCAGCACGTCCATTCCTAGAAGGACATGCCCACTGACTGGTGCCTTGTAGCCATAAGGAAAGAAAGGGTCTACAAAGAATGTCTAAGCCTTTCTCACAGACTTGGGATTTAGGAATTATGGAAAAGGTCAGATTCAGAATCCTAAATTGAGAAAGTATATCTAAGGCATTAAAATATTCTGGACCTCCCCACCTCTTCCAGCCCTTTCAATTCTCACCCATGGCTTTGGTGACTGGCAGGGTCCCCATGTACAGTGCCTCATACTTCTGTGCAGACTGGCTCACAGCATCCAGCAGCTCCACTGAAAAAAAGAATAGCAAGTTGGTTTGGGTGTTCTCTCAGTTACCCCCTTCTCCACCCTTCACAGTGGGGCAGGCCCCAGGCCAGAGCTACAACTGTTACATGGCCAGCTCTTTCTTATTCCTCCTCTATTTCAGGGTCTGGAATCCTTCATACTTCAGAAGTCCCTTATCTCCAGGGAAGTAATAAATAATCAGGCACACCCTTTCCCCTCCCCTAAATCATTCACCAAAGTAGCCTGATACTATATACCTTGCCGTGGCAGATCTTCAGGGGATATGGGGTCTGGGGAGCAGCAAGCAGCATCACCATTGATCCCTACTCTCTCCGACAAGATCTAAAACACAATGTAGACAGCATAAGGCACAGGGAGAGAAGGGAACTGAGGGGGCCAACATACACTGCCCAACAACCTTAGGTGCTTCAGACTCAGTGCCATACCCACATTCCTTGCCCCACCTTTGGCCTTACCTGGGCACAAAGCCCATGCAGGGCACTGGCAATGGCCTTGGCAGGGACGTCACAGCGAAACACATGGCACTTGAGCATACAGCTATCTTTGTCACCCGCCACAAAAGCGAAGTCCCTGGCAAGGTCAGAGATTGGGCTAGGACAGAGATGGGACTAGGGTGGGGGGTGGATTAGGAAGAGGCCTGCAGTATCTACAGGTAAGAGACATGATAAGGAAGAGGGAGGTCAGGGCTAGGGTTCAGGAGACCTGTTTGTCACTCACCTATCACTGGTCCAGAAGCATGTGGGAGCACAGGAGAGAATCAGCCCAGGTGCTCAGGCTCTCCCCAATCCATCCCTGACGAGCTGGGCCCACCCTTCCCCACCAAGGCTGAACCAGGCAGGGATAGGCAGTGCTTGGGTTCATGACAGAGAATCTGTTTCCAAAGGTTCAAGTATAGGGAATCAGCATCAGTGGGGATTGCAGCCTGCAGGGAGGAGCAAGGCAGCTTTTGCTTGGGGAAGTATAGCTGCCCTCACCGGCCCTTGGAGCTGCCCACACCCCATACACGAATGTGTACTAGAGGCTGGCAGTGGATCAGGCTGTGGTCCAAGGGATTCACCAGGCTCATAGCATCCTTCTTCAGGATCATCAGCATGTTCTGCCCCTGCCAAGGATGGAGATCAACTCAAATAGCAGACGAATGTAGCTGCAATGGCGGTCAAGCAATTCAGGCATCTCCTTGGGCCCTACGCTGATCTTTGGAAAGTTAAGTCAACTAACCTCACCCCAAGCTCCATCTGGGGGCTGGCTCCGGCTACGAGTTTGGGCCAGCTGCTGGATGCAGTTATTGACTGCGATGCTGCTCTTTCCTGGTGCCAGATCCTCTTCAGGTACCTCAACCCAGCCCAGAGAGCGGACTGCAAAACACTGGAAGAAGGAACAGAACTTTGAGTGAGAAGGAGTGAAGCAGTGCCACAGACCCCACACATCAACACCGAGGTGACCCCCACCTCCTCCGGATCCTTGATCACCTCTCTCTACTCAGCCCAATCATACACCTGAACTTTCCCTTATGACTTCTCCAATGTCCTGGCCCACCCCTCAGGCCACAGCCACTACCTTAGCCCCTGGCTCCATGCTTTGGATGTAGGATTCTTCACCGTACCAGGACAGGGAATTACTGAAACAAAACAGAGCTGGTGAAAAGACTACAGTTCCTACCAGGGGCACTGGTGAGACACACACTTCAAAGACAGCAAGGACCGGAAGTAGTAAGAAAATTTAACATTGAATGTGGCTTAGAAATTGAAGGAAGATCCAAGACACATGACTCAAGATATTGAAAGGGACATGACAGATAATAAAGAACTGCCCACATGAAAAAAAGGTGTTAATATGTGGGTCAGAACCCCAAATTAAGAAATGTTAAAACAGGAGAGGAATCTCCATGAAATCAGGGTTAGGACTGTGACCAAGATCTAGAATGTAAGTGAGTCAGGACCCAAAATGTGGACAAAAGATAACTTGGAACAGCACAGTGGTGGTGGTGGTGGTGTTGATGAGAAAGGCATTTTCTGTATGCTTACTATTTTGGGGGGAATTTAATGAGAATGAGGAATCAATTTTTTTTCCTTTGTCTAATAAACTTTTTTCATTGTTTTATAACCCAAAAAAAGGACAACTTGAAACAAGGAGTAAAACTCAAAATATTCAGAGACTTAAGAATATGGGCCAGAGTCAAGAATACAAAACATGGGGCAAAACCCAGAACCCAAATGAAAAGCAGACTGAACTACAAAGGTGCATCTTTTGAATACCATGGAACCGCAGCCTTCTACTTTGCCTAGTGCATTGCTGTTACCTCCGGTCCAATGAGCTCTCCAAACTGGAGAAGGATCTCCCTTTCGGAGGCCTCAGTCCCCAAACTCCCTCAGTCCCCTGTGGAAAGACGGTTAGGTCAAACCAACAGACCTAGGTTCACAAATGGGATTAGGACTCCTTCTCACACCCAGCTTACCTTGCCTGCATCCTCTGCATCCTCTGGCTCCCAGTTTGGGCGCTGCCACTGGGTGCTACCACTGGGTACATGCCAGTAGTAAGTACCTGCAGCATCGTGGATCTTCCTCCAGCCAGGGGGCAGACCTGGCTCCCCCTCCAGATTCTGGTCACCCCACAAGTCATCTACAAGAACATTGGGATTAGGAAGCATATTATTTGAGGACTTGGACTAACACTGTGCCAAAAACCTCCATCACATAGGAGGCAGATTTTAGGCTGGAGGTCCAGAACGAACATCTAGGTTCCTTCATCATGAAACACTGCTGTGGGAAAACCAGGGTTCATTTGTTGCCTGATCTTCATCCTGAGACATGTCCCTGGTCTTTGAGCACAAGAGTAAGTAGACTCTCATGCTTCCTCATCCCCTCCACAACTCCCCATCCTCCCGCCGGACCCCTCTCTGCACACCATCGCAGTTGACCAGAATGATGGCCAGCATGTAATCCTTGCCCAGCATAGTTCCGACCGCGGCCCAGCCGGCCTTAGCCGGCCCGCAACTCTCAGCCTAGCACAACCTCCGTAGTTGCAGCGCCTATAGCCCTGCCTCTCCGCCGGGGACTGCCGGGCCAGCTTGCGCCGCACAAACACGGGGCGGAGCAGGGGCGGGCCTGAGCAGTGTTGCTGGCCGAGTGATGGCGCGTGTAAACAGGCGTTTGGATCTCGAGTGGGTGCGCGTCTCCTTGCGTGGATCTAGCGGGAGGTTGAGAACACCACCTGACCCGCTGACACTACGGCGCCACTATGAGCTCATCAAGCAGCAGAACTGAAGGGCAAAAATGCTTCCCGCGCACACGTACGACAGTGAGATCATCACGTTCGCGAGCTAAACGCGAGCGCGCACACGCCACATGAGCCCCCGACCAGGGGAGGGTGTCACGTGGGACTATCCGCAGTCTGAGAATGCCCCGATCCAGCGGCAAGGAAGTCTCTACCGGTCTAAAGAAGTACCGGAAGTGCCTCCGCCCTCAGCAAAAATGGCCGGTCGCACTTAGCATGACAGAGGCGGGGCTGCGCCTGCGCAACAAGTCCGGCGGGGAAGATGGCGGATGACAAGGTGAGTGGCTGTGTCGGAGATCCGGAGTCCAGAGTGATCTTCATAATCTGTGATCATTTTGTTCCTAGTGAGAAGCGATAGTGGAGCAAACCAGGAATGGAAATGCTTCATGTTTCTCCCGTACTTTCTTGTTTCCTCGGGACTTTCACGCTAGTTGCCTTCCTTAACTCGAGGAGGGAGGGGGTGGAGGATTAAGCCAGGTAGCGGGGCCTGGGTGCTCCGGGTTGTGCAGTCCCGGGAACTGTCTTGATCTTCTTAGTTGCACACACTCAAAAACGCATTCTTCCTGATGCATCCTTCACGCGATCTTGAAGTAATGCAGAGTCACGCTTTCCCCACCATTTCATAACCTCTGAAAATTTCCTCCTTGGAGACAACTCTATTTTCAATTCTCACAGTCTCCCACTTCGTTCAAACACTCATTTGGGTACAAGCTGAAAGGACAGAATCCAAGCGCTTTAGCTGAGGAAAGATGGACAAATCTCTTCACGTAAAGATTTACAAACTCTGAAACCAAATGGAGGGTCACTGTAAATCGGAATTGGAGCTTTGGTTTTGTGTGTTTACTGCTCCTCCTGCCTTTCCAATACTTGCTTGTATACAATGCATACATAAAGCATTTGTTGTAAATTTACAAATCCCATGTATCACTCCCTACCTGTCCCCATGTGAATTCTGTGCTCTTTAATGTTTTTTCCCTCTTCTGCTAGCATCGCAGGAAAGTTTCATAAGAAACACCCCTGCTTTCCCCAGCCTTTAGTAGACTTTCTTCAAGGAGACTTGAGAGGGAGTGGGACTGAGTCAGTTTACTGGAGCCAGTATCTCCCTTGTCCTAGGATTCTCTTCCCAAGCTTAAGGATCTGGCATTTCTCAAGAATCAGCTGGAGCACCTGCAGCGACGTGTAGAAGATGAAGTGAACAGTGGCATGGGCCAGGTAGGGGCTGGCTCCTTCTTCCTTAAGCTTTATTGCCTGACATACTTTCCTTCTTCCTTAAGCTTTATTGCCTGACATACTTTCAAGAATGTGGTGGGGTTGTTGAAGACGTTTTCAGAGACACTGGGGACTATTTTCTTGAGAAAATGGCATTTGAGCTGGTATCTTAAATTTCAGGTAGATGGAAAAGAAAAGAATATTCTAGGCGATTGGAACCAGCATATACTAATCCCACATGAAAAGTGAAAGGAGATAGGTCTGGCTGGAGTCAAACTGTTGTTATTGTTAAGTGCCATCAAGTTGAATACGACTCTAGTGACCCTGTGAACGGTGGATCTGAAACCCATCCCATCCTGCACCATCCTCGCACTTCTGACACACTAGAGCCCATTGCAGCAGTCATTGTGTCAGTCCACCTGGTTGAGGGTCTTCCTGTCCTTCGCCAACCCTCCACCCTTTCAAGCATATTGTCCCTCTCCAAGGAATAGCCCCTCCTAGCAACATGCCTGAAGTATGTGCGACAAAGCTAAAAGAACAAAATATTTCTTGGAGAGGGTGCAGCCAGGGTACTCTGTGGAGGCTGGAGTCATAGACTAAGCATATTTGGAAATGAAGGTAGAGAACCAAGCAAAGATCATATCTTCTGTGGTGTTGGGATTCTGATTGGAGCCTCTTATTCCCAGGGTTCTGAGATTGTATAATCAGGACTCCTTGGTTCTTTTCTGATTCTAGAACCCTCAGAAAATCTTGAATACTGAAGCTATCCAGAGTGAGAAAGAGCAAGTGGTGGAATACTCTACGCCTAGCTTGAGTACATCCGGGGTTGAAAAGCCTTCATGAGTTTTTTTCCTGTGTTTTCTTCTGTAGGATGGCTCGCTCCTGTCCTCCCCATTCCTCAAGGGCTTCCTGGCTGGCTATGTGGTAGCCAAACTAAGGGCCTCAGCAGTATTGGGCTTTGCTGTGGGCACTTGCACTGGCATCTATGCTGCCCAGGCATATGCTGTGCCCAATGTGGAGAAGACATTGAAGGACTATCTTCGGTCACTGCGAAAAGGGCCTGATTAGCTCTGGATCCATAGGGGAGACAGGATGAACAGCTGGGGTCTGCAGGTGGGAGCCTTTCAACCACAGGCACCATATCCCACTTCCTTGGCTGTCATCCATTTTCTCTCTCCACCCCTCCTGCCACCCTCAACCTTGATGATCTTCTTGCAGAGGGTGGACAGTGACTGGTCAGTTGGCACCCTGGATTCATTCCTTCTTTGACCCCATGGGACTAGCCCTAAGACTGTGGCTTCAAGATCTACCAGCCTCTTCTTCAACCCTGACTATGGAGCTTGCAGCTGGCTCTGATCCTCAGTGTCCTCTCTGGCAATGTGCCATGGCTCTTCCCTCCTGGGAGCTGACTCCATAACTTGATTTTCCTCAGACGTATTACTACAGCACGCACCACCGTCACTCCCCACCACCACTGCCCCTTCCTACACAGGCCACCCAGGATCTGGTATGGGCATGAGTATAGAGGAGGGGGGTCTGGCAGGCCTGGGCCGTCCCAGGCAAGCCCGCTGGATCTTGATGCTGCTCCTGTCCACTACTATGTATGGTGCCCATGCTCCATTGCTGGCACTGTGCCATGTGGACGGCCAAGTGCCCTTTCGGCCCTCCTCAGCTGTCCTCCTGACTGAGCTGATCAAGTTGCTGTTGTGCGCCTTCTCCCTCCTGGTAGGTTGGCAGACATGGCCCCAGGGGACACCACCCTGGCGCCAGGCTGCCCCCTTTGCCCTGTCAGCCCTGCTTTATGGCGCTAACAACAACCTAGTGATTTACCTTCAACGTTACATGGACCCTAGCACCTACCAGGTACTGAGCAATCTCAAGATTGGAAGCACAGCTCTCTTCTACTGCCTCTGCCTCCAACACCGCCTCTCCGCGCGACAGGGACTAGCAGTGCTGCTGCTAATGGCAGCAGGGGCCTGCTACGCAGCTGGTGGCCTCCAAGACCCCCGGATCACCTATCCTGGGCCCCCTGCAGTAGCTGCTGCTGCCCCTATGCCCCTGCACATCACCCCACTGGGACTGTTGCTCCTCATCCTTTATTGCCTCATCTCAGGCTTGTCATCTGTGTACACAGAGATGCTCATGAAACGCCAACGGCTACCCCTGGCACTTCAGAACCTCTTCCTCTATACTTTCGGTGTGCTCCTGAATCTAGGTCTGCATGCAGGCAGTGGCCCTGGCCCTGGCCTCCTGGAGGGTTTCTCAGGCTGGGCAGCACTCGTGGTGCTGAGCCAGGCACTCAATGGACTGCTCATGTCAGCTGTCATGAAGCATGGCAGCAGCATCACGCGCCTCTTTGTTGTGTCCTGCTCACTGGTGGTCAACGCTGTGCTCTCAGCAGCCCTGCTGCAACTGCAGCTCACAGCCGCCTTCTTCCTGGCCACACTGCTCATTGGCCTGGCTGTGCGTCTCTACTATGGCCGTTAGCCCTAACCATCTCCATTCTGGCTACTGACCCTGAAGGTTGGGTATCACCATCAGAGCAACCTCCCAACCCTCTTCTCCCCTTTGCAGCCCTGTCACAAGTGCCTTGTGAGAAAAGCTGGGGAAGTGGGAGCAGCCAGGACAGTCTCTAGAGGTGGGTATATAAAGGAAAAACTACTAGAAGGTTTATAACGGGTGTTTAGCTATGGGAACAGCAAACACAGACTCCAAAGTTCTTCCATACTAGGCATTTAGGGAAACATCAGTATCTAGGCCTAAAAAAAA